CCTGGGTTTGGCCCAAGATGCTCCCTAAACTGCTTAATCTTGATATTCCCAGAATCTCACCTTAGCAGTTTTATATATGCTTATTTTCCAGGTATGCCTACTTCTTATCAATAATCCTTAATTTTTTTTTGTTTGTTTTGTTTTGTTTTTCGAGACAGGGTTTCTCTGTATTGTTTTAGAGGCTGTCCTGGAACTCGCTCTGTAGACCAGGCTGGCCTCGAACTCACAGAGATCCGCCTGCCTCTGCCTCCTGAGTGCTGGGATTAAAGGCATGCGCCACCAACGCCTGGCAATCCTTAATATTTTTATGGAGAACTGAAATAACACCAGTACTCTTCCATGTTCCTGCTGCTTGTTCTCTATGCTCAGGCCCTTTCTGAACTCGCAGCTCTGACTTCAGGGCATCAGCTAGGTGAGTGCCAGAGCTGGGTTCCAACCACTGCCGGCAGGTTCTACTCTACCCACTCCTCAGCATGGTCACCTGGACTAAGTAAGCTCAGCGTTCCTACCGCTGAAGGATTCTTTCTGGTCCAGCTCTTCCCCTGAGTCACCAAGTAGGACCTCTCTCCTCTCCCACATGGTACATGAGTCCTGGCATCAGCAGACATTTACCAGTCCCCCAGGTGACACTCTTAACATTGTACCTGCCCCTAGCTAAGGACTCCAAGTTCTGGTCATTCCTCGGTAGTCTTATTCTTTGATGAATGCCAAATGTTCATGTGTCTTAGATATCTTTTGCTGTGATAAACCTATGACCAAAAGCAGCTTTCAGTAGAGAGAGTTTATTTCAGCTTACAACTTGTATGTAGTCCATCCCTAAGGGATGTCAGAGCAGGAACTCAAAGCAAAAGTCTAGCCACGGAGTGAAACAGAAACCATGGAGGGCGCTGCTTCCTGACTTGCTTCTCATGACTCGCTCAGCCTGCTTTCTCATACTGCCCAGGGCAGCACCATTGTGGCCTGGGCCTTTCCACATCAATCCGGGTGATTCTAACCTTCATCAAGTTGACACAATACTAACCAGCACTCCGTGCTTAGGACCAGCTTCTGCTCTCATGCCTGCTACTGCAGCAGGGCTCACTAAGACCGAAGCTCAACTTAGATGGATCCTGAGAACCAACGATGAAACCTTGGGTAGCTAGCCTGCCAGTCAACATCTCTGCCCAAATAACCCAAAGCTGGACCCAGATATGTTGCCTTCCTTCCCATCAGGTCGGATATTAGACGACATGCTCTCCTTTAAGAGGCAAGGTGGTCCTCCCACACTGGCTACTGCTTCACCTGAGCTTCATGCTGTTCTAGGGGGAGGTGCTCCCTTCTCTTTCTGTCATCTGAAAGCCAGCAGAATCCTTGATATGATATTCTGCCATTTCCTCCTCAGTTTAGCCAGGCACTGATAGAGAAATGTGCAGTCAGCCTGAGGTCATCACTGCCGTCTGGATTGTATGCTTTCACTCAGAATCTCCCAGATTAGAAAGCAGTTGGAAAGGAAGAATTGATCCTTTGAGCTATCTTAATTACAGTGCAATAGAACAAGACTTGAGAAACCAACTAAGGCCAAAAGGCAGTGACGTTTTTTATAAATAGAAAACCAAATACTTTGAGATTTGAGCATAGGACAAACCACACTATTTCCTGTAAAGAGAATATACTGATTTCCCCCCTCATTATTAAAAATATATATATATATATACCCATTTTAAAACCAGAAAGTAGAAGCCAGAAGTTACTCAAAAAGTCAGTCTAAGATTAGCTTGGATTTACTCTTGAATGTTATGGGTGACTCTTGGGAAGAAATAGTTGTATTCACACCTTAAAGCAGCATAAAACCAAGGTGGAGTTCAAGCATTATCCATCAAGGAGAAGGTATATTGGATGGTTTTAAAGACTTTGCTGTTCATGGCCGTAAAGGTATTTAAAAATAATAATGATGGGGGCTAGAGAGATGGCTCAGCGGTTGAGAACACTGGCTGCTCTTCCAGAGGACCCGAGTTCAATTCCCAGCACCCACATGGCAGCTCACAATTATTTGTAACTTCAGTTCAAACCAATACACATAAAAAATAAAGTTAAATAAATTAAAAAAATGATGATGATGATGATAAAATAGTGATAGGTTTGAAGCACACCTTTTCCTGTCCTGAGCCAGATATGGTGGTGCATATCTTTAATCCCAGCACTCAGGGGGCAGAGGTAGGTGGATCTCTGAATTTGAGGCCCTGCTGATCTATACAGTGAGCTTCGGGACAGCCAGTGCTACACAGAGAAACCTTGTGTCTCAAAAAATAAATGAAAGAATGGATGAATAAATGAAAATAATAAATCCTGTCCTGCAAAAGAGTGCTGTGAGCAAAGCCCTGGGTTAAATTGCTTTTTACCTAGGGAACTGCCTGTTGAGTTTACAGGTGACATGGAGAGAGGGCTCTGCAGTCCCCCTTCAGGGTCTTGGTGCAGTGGGATGATAACTACTTAGGTTGACTGCCTTACTAGCAGTGTAGTGGCGCCTGCTTGTCCTGCTGAGTAATCCAGCCTGGAGAACAGGGTCTTCAGCCTTCACTGTGAGGGAGTTCCCTGCAGTTAGATAAACTGATCTGTTGCTTGGTAACCATGAGATTTCCACAGTGGATGCTCAGGAAGCCTGAGTCAGAGGGTCCAGGTATTTGGAGGGCAAGAATTTGGCAGGATCCTGGGAGAAGAGCAGCTTATCAGAAGGCATGAATGCTGGATGCATGCTTGAATTTAGAGGGTTTCACCTTCCCATCTGTAGTGTACCTTCTGGGCTTTGGACCTAAGAACAGAGGAGGAAATTGGGAGCTGACCATGGGAGAAGTGCATCTTGTTGGCATGGCTTTTGTGACAACAGTGAGGCCCTGCAGGGTTGCTTACCTTAGGTACCTGTTTGTTTGCTGTGTGAGAGGGCTGCTGGGTTTGCCTGAGACAGCCAGATACGTGAAGATGAGCGGGATAACCTACCTGTTAAGCATGCAGTGCCACTGAGCCTACCCAGCCCGAGACACACTTTCTAGAGGCGGCCTGTCATTGTAGTCCCAGGGCTTACCTCCTACTGCCCCATCCAGCTCTACCTGTGAACAGACAGATCTGGGACACTGCCGGGGGCCCTTGGTGTTGTCGATGGAGGTATCTGCACTGGGCAGCTGGAGGCATGGGTATGATGCTCTGGGCTGCTTCCCACAGCCAGCACTTGCTCTGCAGGCAGTTCATGTATCAGTCACCAGATAAGACTCTGGTTACTACTGTTTTCGGTGATGGCAGGACCAACTATTTCTTTGCTGGGGAGAATATTTTGAAATTTTGCATATCTTGAAACTCAGGTTATTACATTTAAAAATTATACGAATTGTGAGCAACTGCTTCAAACAAGAGGGAAGAAAAAGCGTTCCTTCCTGTCAGAACCTTTTGCTCTGTCTGCCATGTAACCTGACTAAAAATAAACTATAAGCACAGGAAGTTGCAACCTTTGCTGTGGATTAAGTCAGTACCCCACAACCACAGTCTGTCTACGTGCACAGGCCTGGAAACCCAGCCCTGGCCAGGGACATGGCAGTTCGTGAGAAGTCAGGGTCAACAGTACTGCTCATGGGGGTCGGAGGGTGGGCTGTAAGTAGAACCTGCCTCCACCCCAAGCAGACCTGGCAGCAGTTTTCAGTCTGCAGGCCTCAGTTTCCCCTGTATAACTCTGATTGTGATTCCCACAATAGTCTCTGAATGGCTGGCTGGCACTTAATACCTCTATCTAACATCTATGTGGCATTAGCAAGGTCTCACCCTGCAGTTAACAGTGCTTCCCTGTGTGATGCTAGTGGTCTTGAGCCCTGCCCCAGCACACTTACTGAATAAACTTCCAGCCCTAAATATGCTAACATACCTTTCCCTCAAATCTTTTTACTTAGCAAGGTTAACTCTTCCTCATTCAGGGGGAAAAACAGGATCTTCCAACTTCAGCCCTATGCTCTGGATGAGATTATAAACGGCTTCATCTTCATTATAATGGTATCTTCACAGTTCCTAATAATGTTAATAGCACAGTGCAGGCTGTGTCTAATTCTTGGATTTTAAAGGACTTCTGTTTATTTTGTCCAGTCTCTGACTACCACAGTACAGAACATGCTGTCGGATCAGAGAGCAGCCAGAGACCCTTCTGGAGCTCCTTACACTAAGTTTTCCTGGGTCTCTGTCATGTGGGGTGCTGAAGGACTTGCCAGAAAGCCAGTATGAACTTAATTGGTCATTGCCTCCAAGTTGATGCGTTTTATTCTTATGGTTCCATTTTCACTCTTCAGTGTACGATTGAATTTCTGCAAGTTTCCTCTTCTGATCAGGTGGTTATCTTTCCTGAAGTTTCTGAGCTTATGTACTGAAGCTGATGTCAGGTTTTGGCATCTTGTGGGTCAAGACAGGTTTGCATTCCTTCCAGCCCAGATCTGTGCAGTGGCTGTGCTCATGGCATTTGGGCTTGGGATTTGAAGGATCAGGGTGGTGTCTGCTGTCTAGTGAGTGCTGCGAAGTCTGCGTAGATACCCTGCCTTCGAGGCTGGCCTAGCAGGGCACTGTGCCCACAGTCTGCCAGACCACAAGGGTTCAACCCTGACGCCCTGAACATGGAAGCTTTGCAGCTGTTTTGCGCTGTCGAGTTTCTGTGGGCTTTCCCATCCACGGGCAAACTGCTGTCTCATACACCTCGTTTGTCATCAGAGCGTGAGAGTGTGCATTTCTTCTCTCTCCCCACCCTCATGAAAACAACAGAGAACAAAGCCTCACTTTTAAAAATGCCATGATATTTTGCCACCGTTATGAAAATCTGTCAGCACCGTATCTAATCTTCTGGTGCATAGAATATCAAAACAAGTGCTACTGAAGAGATTGCTCTTCTGCTAATACAAAAATGTCAGCCTCCTGGTCTCACAGCCAGCTGCTGTCAGCCTCCCTCCAAATGGGAAGGAAAAACACTAAAGTCTCCTTCTGCTGTTACTGTTCCTTAGGCCTGACCCTCGGAGGAAGACCCGGAATAGGCACCAGTTTGTGCTCGCTGAAGTCCTGCAGTCAGAATACTCAAGTGGTCTGGAGGCCAGCAGCATGAAGGGTGGAAAGCAAGGCAAACAGCGGGGCTTTCAGGTGGCACCCAGCAAGCCAGCACCAGGGAGAGAATGAAGCTGCTCCTACACCCATCCAGAAGGCTCACCACCAGCAAGCAAGCTTCTTTTGGTTGTTGTTAATCTCTACAGGTCAGGGTGGATCACCAGGCCCCCTGGCTTTAGATTGGTGTCCTGATCTTATCAGGGAAGCTTCCTGCACCTTTCCCTGAACACAGACCCTCACCTGTTGGAGGAGGAACCCTGATGGAAGCCAGCAGGAAACCTGCCTTTGCTCAAGCCTCTTGCAAGATTGTGCATAGGGACAGCAAAGCATCTCATGAGTCAGCCTGAAAGTGTGGCTCCTGGTGAGTTTGCCAGATGAAGCTGCCACACACGTATTGCATGAGTTTTGTAAGGTGGACTGTTAAAAATTTGCACAAAAGGATAAAGTCTTTGTTGAATAACCTTTTTCTTAGTGTCCACATATTCTGTCAGGAAGGGCTGAGAGAGCTTTCGCTTTGGGTCACAAACTCAAATGTTTTGACAGCAACGCTTGTGTCTTCCATAAGCACGGCATATCGCCATGTGCATTGCCTCCCCTTTCATGTCCACAGAAGACTCACTCTCTGGCTAATTGACTTACTGTTGCCTTTTTATTATTGCCTTTGAAGTCAAAAGGCACCAGCACCCGAGCTTGCTTTTTCCCATCGGAGCCTGTCTTCTCTTCAAGGTCTGAGGTCTTTGTGTTATGACCTAGACCCAGAACCCCCACGCGCCATTGTGTTTCCGGGAGGTTTGAAAGAGGACCCCTGGAGTGTATTGATTTCCTAATAAATGTAAGATTTGGACATTACAGAGGACTCACGAGAGAAAGGGTTAAGCTCAATGTGCTCTGTTCGGACACCATTCTGTGCCTGCTTTCCTCCGGGTTCCTGTGTGCCCAGGCCATTTGAAGCCCCAGGGCAAGTGTTGTAGTACCACTTTGCCCCTCTTCTGAAGGCAGGCAGGGTGGAGGCTGTCTCAGGGAGGAAGATCAGTTAACACCCACACTAGGAAAAAACCCTGTGCAGGGGAGCACAGCCTGGCCAGGACTGGCCGCCACAGACTCGGAGCCTGTGGACGCCGTTTGGAAGGAAGCTGCAGCAGGTGTGGAACTGACTGGACAACTTGGACACCTTTCTTGGATTTGCAGTGACTCACATGCTTTTGATGGGAAATGAGGGATCAGATTATGAAGAGTCAACCAGCTGTGTGAAAACAGGATTAGTGCCTGTAATCAGGGATGGCCACGCAACAATCTGTGTCTGCCTCCCAGCAACAGGCCCTAAGGGCTCAGCTGCAGGGCTGTGAGGTGTGCTGGGACCTTACTGAAGTAGCAATAACTCTAACCCTAAACTTGGAATTCATACATGCAGTTTTCCAGCCAGTAGGGGTGTCCTCAGAGGTGTTGGTGACATCTGCTTAGGTAGATTTGCTACATCGGCAACATATTACCCCGTCATCAGGAAACAAACTCAGGAATTTACGGTTAATGTTCTCTAAATTTAAACAACCTTAAAATGAATCCCTTATGGATTTTGATAGGATGTACATCCCAGGTATAAGTTGGACACAATGTTAGCCTAATTCCAGTGTACATGGTCTGATTTTGTGTATATTTTTAACCATACCTTTGTCTAAGGTCCCCGGTTTGGCATTTTCCTCACATCATCTCGCTTACCATATTAAAGTCTCAGGAGATTCAGATACCAAAAGGGAGTGCGGTGGTTGTAGAGTGCTTGTTTTGGGGTCCAAAGCCTTCCCTGGTTGCATCCCATGACGAGGGCAGCGAGCTCTGGAGCAGCTGTCTGCAGTGAGACATCATGGATATCCTCCACTGGCACAGAAACCAGGGCCAAGCAGAGCCCCGCTGAGGACTGTTCTGATAGAGGACTGCTTTGATTCCTCTACTCCCTGACGGGAGAAGAGGGGAGTGAGCCTCCAAGTGCACAGCGCGAATGATTCTGCTCTGCCAGTGCCTGAGTCCAGCATTTCACACAGCCAGCCGAAGCCAGTCCCAGAGATGGGAACTTCAGGCCTTTCCAGTGACAAGTTTCCCTGACTGAGAAGTGATTAACGGGCCTTTCCAGTTTGCCTCCATGACTATCAAACTTTCTTAGTCTGCTAGACCATAATAAAATATAAAGCTAAGTTGTTGGGGTAGCGCCCCCAATTAAAAAAAAAAAAGCAGTCTAGTTTCCAGAAGCCTTGCAGCTGAGGGCCAGCTGGAAAGGCTAACCTCTTAAACTTGGTTGCCCCCACCGTTTGGATTTAGTCCAGATTTAGAAGGGTCTGCGTTTCAGAGCCTGCCTTTTGTTTGGTCTGCTGGTGGGTCCCTCATGGTTTTTTTTTTTTTTTTTTTTCTGTTTTAAATGAGGGCACCCAGCCCCTGGGTTAGGAACAGAGAAACCAAGTTAGCCTTCTAAATGGATGGGAAGCGCAAGCCCACCTCACTGCAGAGGTTGTGGAGTTATTATTGCAGATGGGATGTGCAGGACAATTTAAAATATTGTAATTATAAACTTGTAGGGAAGCCTTGTTCTTCATTAATGTAAGATATGAAATGGCCTCTGCGGTACAAGGACAATTACATAGTCAGAATGTGTCTGCGGTTTACACTGCACTGTGTAAATGTGAGGGTGGCTGCTCCAGCCTGCCTCCTCCACTCTCTCAAAATGAAAAGCACACCACCGCAAGTTGTCCTTTGATAGATTTTTAATATGATTTTAAAGAGTTTTGTTTGGTCTCATTCTTATTCAATGAGATTAATTTAAAGCACTTATCCCCTGGGTTTAAGTCAATCCGTGTAGGATTTGGGCAGGGTTTGTTGCTTGGGGGGTTTTGTTTGCAGGAGGCTATGAGAGACTCCTTTCCCACTTCATTAACCCTGAGTTGGGGACAGTCCCCCCTCACACCCCACCACAGCCAGATCGAGGGATTTACCAACCCGCATTCACATGCAAAAGAACTTGAAAGCCGAGGGGCTCCTTGACTTAATTAGCTGCTGTGCATTTTGCAAAATTAGAATACTACCCCCACCATCCCAGAAAAGAAAAGCCTGGGTGTGAGGATCCTGGGAGGTGGGGAGGAAACAGTAGCCGAGCTGGCTGTGGTTGGGGCAGAGGGGAATGCTTTCTGAATACGCCCCCCTCCTTTCACTGCCAGGTTCTCTCCCGGAACAGTTGGGCCAGGAATGCTGGGAGGGTACTTTGCTTGCAAGCATCCAAACTCCTCCGCATGTCCATCTTGTAGGTCAGTGTGCTGCAGGTGGTGTGGGGGAGGGCAACACCTGCGCCCATATCCCGGGAGACCGAACGGTGTCAGGAGATGACCTTGACCCTTTGAACGTGATCTGGAGTCTGACTCCCCAGAGATGTAAGAGAGGCGGCTGGTGCGATCTGCCCACTTCCCCGCTCCTATTTGTTCCAGGGTAAGGGCGGGGCGGGGAGGGGTGTTAGAGGTTGGAGAGCAAAAGGTTGCCCGAGGTGGTATCAAGCTTTCGAAGGCCCGTGGGGTCCTACCAGGCATTAGAGACTAGGAGCTGCGGGTAGCTAGAGCGGAGGGCGCGGGGCCGCGGAGGGTGGGGCAACAGGGAACAGCCTCGGAGTCCATCTGTCTGCCCCGCGCCTGCAGGGCCGGTCACCAGCTGCCGGCGCCCTGGTCTGAGCCAGATGAGTCGGCTCAGTGAGTGCCTCGTGGCCTGACACGCAGCAGAGGGAGGCCAGGAGCAAGCCTTGCCCGTGGTCCCCGTGTGGAAGCGGGACGAATCAGATGGAGAGGCTGAGACCTACAGACTCGCCTCTATGTGGAAACCAGGAGGCCCCTGGAAGTCCAGTCGGGGTCTCCTGCGCATGACCCCAGCACCAAGGAACCGGGGAGCAGGGCAAGAGGGAGACAAAACTTTTTGCGAATGTAGTGTAAGATGCCGTAGTTGCTTATGAAGAAAGGGGTGGGAGAGGGCCAGGCGCCTGGTCATTTGTAAGAAGTTTATTTCCACTTTTAAAAAAGAGAACCCAAGAGGCCTGGTTGCCCCGGGACCTGGGTGGAGGGGTGGGGCGGGGGGCCCGGATGCATGGGCAAGCCCTCTCGACCACTTCTGCCCCACCTGGCACTGGGAGGGCACAGGCCACAGACTCACTGATTTACAGACACTGTCACGGGCTCATGGGTCACGAATAAATAACTTCATATACACTTTGCACACCGTTATGTACAGCTCTGCCGCTAGCCCGGGGCTCGGAGATTAAAGGAGATGGGAGGGAAGCTCCGTACAGCACTCCCACCCTGTCCCACAGAGGTGCGGGAAGAAGGGTGGACCCAGGGCTGGGGCACCGGAGAGAGCCGCTCTGTCGCTGGCGTCCCCTTACCTGCTGCTGAGGGACAGGGGCCACGTAGGGAAGCCCGCAAGGACTTGGGGTTGGGTGGGAGGTGGGCAGGGGCGCGTATGTACATCCGGCAGGTGGAAGTGCCTCTGGGGTTGAGCCGCCGGGAGAGAGGACGCCACGGAGGGGTAGCCTCAGTGGATTTATCCCCCTCGGGGACACTGGGCTGCGGCGCTGCGGGGAGCCGGGGAGCCCTGCCCCGGGGCGACGGGAGGGACCCGCGCCCAGCCTGAGCTGGGAGTCCCGGAGCATGGCGCGGGGCGAGAGGACGCCTCACCGAGGCTGCGCGGCGCGTGGGAGGACGCCGGGCAGCGGAGGCAGCGGCGGAGGAGGCTCGTTGGCGCCTTGGAGTCCGTGGATGAGGATTCGGGGCACCAGAGGTCTCTGCAGGGCAGGCGGCGGTGCGCTGGGGCCTCTGTACAGATAGAGAGCGGCACCCGGGTCCAGGTTGGAAACGAGACTCTGTGGGTAGAAATAAGGCGACGGGAACATTCTCTGGAGCGCCGAGTAATTGCCTGCCTCCGCCAGCAGCTCCAGCCCCACGGCTGTCTGTCGCTTCCATTTAGTCCTGGAAACCGAAATCAAGGCAGAGGAAGGCGTCAGGATTAGGACACTCCACAAACCTTGCCCCTTCCTAGTGACTGGCACAGAGAGCCATAGGGTGGCCAACAGGGAGCGTGCTAATTTGGTAATAAATAACGGAGTGCCCAAGGCAAATGCCTCATGCCTCATCCCCTCTTCCACTGGCTTTCCTTGACTGTTGTCCCCATTTTACAGATTAAAACCTTGAGGTGTGAGCCAATTTTCATGATGGTCTGCAAGTGGCAGGCAGAGCCCCTACTCCAAGCCAGATTGTCTGCCTCCAAGATGCACATACAAGCTCACAGGTCCGGGTACCCTCTGGATATGCTTCCCCCGGGGAGGCTAATGAAAGTGGAGCGACAGAGTGGTGAAGCTGGGCTACGGGGTAGCCAACCCTTCCCAGGGCTAGCCCCAGAAGCCTGGGGGACTCCAAGCAGCGATTTCTCTCTAAGAACGCACACACTTTCTCTCCCAGCTCTGCCTACACTCAGGCCACCTAGGTTTGAGGCCTGGGGCCAGCTAGTCCCAAATCCCTCTGACCCAGAAGTTGGGAGGCCTAGGGCAAAGCAGATGTGAGGAAGTTAAAACCAAGGCCTCTGCACTCACCTGGGGGTGAGGCTGGGTATGCTTGTCTGGGTTCCATGAGGTGGGCTCAGGCACACTAGACCTGTTTCCCTCTCTGAATAATTCCTCATTGTCATAATTGTGTAATTACTGCAACGAGTCTTAATTATTGATGCCTGAAGCCTTAATCGGTATTTATTATTAATGGGGCTGTGTGTTCTGAGGCTTGTTTATGGAAGGCACCATTCCTGCCTCTGCTGAGTTTGTGAGGGAGTGTGTCACTATGCAGACTGACATGTCTGTGCATGTATCTTACCGGTATATTTAAGTCCTGTGGATGTCCAAGAAGGAGATTAAGAAGCAAGTTCAAGACCAGTGTCCTAATAATAATTTCCTTGTCTCTCCCAGAGGAACTGGGGTGAGGAAAACCCTTTCCTGGCTGTAAATGTTTGAAGGCCAATGGCCCCTAGGACAACAACCTCAGGACCTTTCTGCTTTCTGGAGACTTGGGCTGCCACTCTCCCCCTCATGATGTAGGCTTTCCATCCGAGGAGCCCAGAGGTCCCAAAGCCTAGTTTAGGCCTGGTTTCTTGCGGACTTGGACTGGGGTGGAGCCGGGCTTGAATCTCTATTAGCCTCTGTGCCGATTCACCTGCTCTTGGATGCCAGTCTGGTCCTTTCTGTCCCTCACTGTGGAATTTAAGGCAAGGTCTTTTCTCAAAGACTCGGTTTCGCTACTTTTACAGAATGGGAGAGACCCAAGGTTCCAGGAGTCCACTCCGCACCCCGCCCTGCAGCGAAACCTCACCTGCGGTTCTGGTACCAGGTCTTGACCTGCGTGTCAGTGAGGTTGAGCGAGGCGGCCAGCTCCATGCGGTCTTGCACACTCAGGTATTTCTGCCGCTCGAAGCTACGCTCCAGTTGCGCCAGCTGATGGTCGGTGAAGGCGGTGCGCGCTTTTCGTGGCTTTTTCAGGCGCACGGGGGGACTGTCCCTAGAGCTGGAGATCTCGCGGTCGCCCTCCTCCTTCACTGCGGAGACACAGAGGGCATGTGAGGGCTCGGTAGTGCTTGCGCCCTAGCATCCTACTCCCCACTCGACAAGACGCAGACCTCTGAGGTCCCGAAGCACCAAGCGCTATCGGTGCCAGGATTCCCTGCCCTCAGTAGGGTGTGAACTGTGGATGAGAAGGAAATGGTGTTAGGAAGTACCAGGGGCAGAGCCGCTGGCAGCTCCCTGAAGAAACTTAACCACCATCACACACACACACACACACACACACACACACACGCACACGCACACACGCACGCACACACACACGCACACACGCACACACACATGCACACACGCACACACACACACGCACACACGCGCACACACACACACACACCAGGAGAGAGAAAGCCAGCCTCGGACAGACTGGCCTAGTCTGCCACTGGCTGAGAACTGGTTTCTGGGTGGTTGCCTCCTCCGCCGCGTTTGGAAGCAAAACCCTCACAGAGGAACAAAACCCTTTTCGCTCCTCAGTACCCCCACCATCTCGAAGAGCATATAATTGTGCCCACATCTATCCGACTCTGGTTTGGCCAGGAATCTGTAGCAGTTGATTCCTAGGCCACTTCCGAAGTATGCATGAGGAAGGCTAGGGTCCGGGCTTCTGTGAGCGCTGGGAGAAATACTCATCGTCCCTGAGCATGAAGTACTGCGTGTATCACAGAGGTCGGGGCTTCCTTGTGCCCACTGCGGCTCCCACCCCACCTGTGTACTGATCCTGTGACAGTCCTCAGTCAGGAAAACAGCCATCTACTCCTCAGCACTGAGGTCCACCGTGGACCAGACAGAACCAGAACGGGATTAGTTCATTTTCCTCTCCTTTCGTTGGGGTTGACTTAACAGAAAACACATTTAATCGGAAGAGCCTGGCATTCCCATCACCTCCTCTTAAGGTGAGACTGGAACGGAATAGTCCACTTCTCCCAATAACATTTTAGGCTGGGGCTTCCGCCCACCCTACCCCCTGCTTTCCTTATTTTCTTTTATAGTGAGTTTCATTGTGCGTGGCATTTGTCATGACAGGGTTCAGCTGAATGCGAGGTGATTTCTCTCGGTAGGAAACAATAATCCGGTTAATTGAGCCACTGGGGAGGGAGGCTTTTCAGCCGGAGAGGCTGGACTTCCAGGCAGGGAGGGAGCCTGGAGCCCGAGCACCCGTGCACTTAGGAGTCCTGGAATAACTCTGCCCTCAGTGACAAAGATGACTTTTCTCCCCAGAAAGCCTAAAGCTTATCCTTGTTCAAGCCTCAAACTTGATATCAAAGAAATCTTACTTTACCTCTCCCGCCCCTTTAATTACTTGGACTACTTATAACAATCCCTCACCCCGGTGAGATGGCCAGCCACTTTTTATTTTCTTTTAACTTTAGTCCTTTCCTGTCTCTGTCTACCTTGTGTCCATTTCACAAACTGACCTGCATCCCATCAGTCTAGGGCTAACGATCTTTCCTGTGTGGAGTAAAGCCCTGGCTTGCTTTCTCCGAGAGCCTGGGCTCCAGCCAGTGTACTGCTGCCACCTGTCTTACTTCCAAAACCCCGTTCTGTTGAAGAAACCTTTCAGGGCAGAACCTTGTGATGGGACTGGCCTGTTCCCCACCCCTGCCTCATTCCGTCCTTGAAGGAAATGACTCAGTATTCTGTGGCTAGGTGGTGATGGGCTTAAATGCATCTACCTGGTTCCTGTGTCTGTCTCTCAAACCAGCTCCCTAACTCTGCAAAAGTCACTCCTGATTGAGAAATGTGCCAGGCCTAGCTTTGCTCTGCCAATGTGCCCCACCCCACCACACACACACACACACACACACACACACACACTTCACTTCACAGAGTCTTAAGTGCAAAAGCAGCAGCCTGTGCCTAGAAGTGGCTGCAACTTTCTGCAGCAGCGTCCTGTGCTCCAAACCTGTTTAAGTGATAAGAAGACAGCCGGCTCTCTGCCCTCTCGTCATCTCCCTGCTCAGATATCATCAGGGACAGGAGAAGAAAACTGATATTCCAATTATCTTAAACGAAATGGAATCTCTCCTCAAAATCCTGCTTAGGGGCAGAAACATAAAAGGAGGCAATTGTTCATACAGGCAGGGCTAGACCCGATTGCTCTTTGCTCTAACCATGAAGCTATGTAGAGCTGGTTGCAAATTGTAAGGAATGAAACACACACACACACACACACACACACACACACACACACCAGATACATTTTATCTGCCTTTCACTCATACCCCTTTCTCCAAGGTGAATTCTCTTTGCTTCTCTAAACAGGTGGGGAGGGGAGGCCTTCTGGGGCCAAGTTTCCCAAATGCCTTTAGACCTCTAGACCTCTTCCTGAGTGCTGTGGTTGAAACTGCCAGCTTTCTGGAGATGATGGGTCCATGCCCTGGTTGAAGGAGACCTAGCCATTTCCACTGGGGGGAAGAAGAAATGAGATGTGGACTAGAACCCCTGAGGGGCTTCAGTTTGGAGTGCAGGTCTACCCTCAAAGGAGTTCTCGGTTGGGAGGAAGAATTAAGTGACTAAATAGTTGTGTAATTTAGCACAAATGGATACCAGGAGATGCAGGCAGCAATGAAGCCGACTTTATAACAAAGTATTGATTCAAAGAAGGGGTTTGGGGTATTAATTGTAATAGTTGCAAAGCCAGGAGCAGTCTCCACCAGGCCCTAGTTTTCTGCTGGTTGGCATAGAGCTCATCCCCTGCTCCCTCTGACACCCAGGGCCTCTGCACTTAACTTCTTCCTGGAAAGAACATTGTGCCCTGGACCTTATAAACAGCTAAAGTCAGGATGGAGCTTAAATATAAGAAACAAAACTAAAGAATGTTCTCTTTCTTTCCTCTCTCCCTCTCTTCATTTTTTCTTTCTTTTCATCTTTCCCCTTTCTTTTTAATCCCATCTCAGCTCCTTAGTTAAAACAGAATGAAAAGGGAGTCACCTCAAAGGTCCCCAAAGTGAAAATGGGAGTGATGGGACCTGTCAGTTGGGCATCTCTACGTCTGAATGCAGCCTGGTGATCACGACTTAAGACCTGATTCAGAGAGAGCTGCTGTGTGGAAGGACGTGGGGGGCCTTCCCCTCAGAACCAGCCAGCTCCCCAGGCTGCTTGTTCCTTCTTCAAACCGATCTCTTCACATGCAGGATCGAAAGGCCTCAGACTACACTCCCCAGTGGGTGGGAAGACCCACTTTCTCTTCTTGTTGGGAAACTGAGACTAAGGGCCAGACGACTATTGCTGTAGTAAGGGCTCTGGCAGGGATTTTCTGCCAGGCTCTCACTCCAACAAAACAGCACCCTCCAAGCTTTGCACTGGGGCAGGCCCTCCTCCCCGGGAACTTCAGAAGTGAGGCTCCTGTCCGCCAGCACAACTGGTGGAGGAGTTATGGCCCCGGCTGGGAATTTAGAAAGTTTGCCTGGTACATCTGGTGAGGCTTGCTCTCCCTTACACCCAATATCCCCCTCAGCTTCTCCCTGCCACACACACTGAATTCTTTGTTGCTCCAGGGTCCAACCTTAGGGCTGGCGACTAGACCAACTCTCAGCCTGGGCCTTGGGAACCCCTGAGGTGACTGTGTGCCTTTCTCCAAGTGTGTGCTCTCCAGTTCTAAGTGTCAAGTTTTAGAAACACCCGTCTCCCGTTTTCACCTTGTTTTCTTACCTTTGTACTCAGAGTCCGACGAGGCGCTGCTGACACTTTTGTCCAGTTTGTCGCGAAAGTCCTCCCCGGCCTTGGCTGCAAGGCGGCCCCCAGGCTCAGGGGCTGCAGGCTGCCCGCTGCTAGAATAGGGTGCACACGCCGCGAGAGGTTTGCAGTCGGCAAGGATGTCCCTGATCAGAAAGGAGGAGGTGACGGTTCTGGACTGGGCTGGGGCTGAAAGCTGCCCTGGTTGCAGGTGAGAGTCCAAACCTGGGCCAGATGCTGCACTGGGTCTCGAGGTACTGGTCTCCAGGCAGTCTCTTCCGGGCGAGGCTGGAGAAGAGCAGTCGCTGCTGCTCTCTGAGCGTGGACTCAGCTCCAGGGGTGAACGGCAGTCCCCAAGCAAGGGGTCCCCCTTGGGAAGGGCGGGGCTGCTCGCTCGGTGGGAGAGAATGGAGTCAATCCCAAAGCCATTGGAACCTTCCATAGCCAAACTGCGACCTGTCCTCCCCAAAAGCTCCCCACCCACCCCCAACCCCAGCCGCCGCTGCCCCCTGCCCCTAGCTGCGGGCTGGCATGGGGAAGGCGGGCAGGGAGCCTGTGAGCACCTTGGATGGAGTTCAGCCTTGGGGGAGCCCGGGAGCTCTGGGCCAACCTCCTCTGCGCATTACATCCAAAAGGGTTCAACGCGTCTTCTGCAGCACCGCACCGAGCCGCCGAGCCGAGGGGGGTGGTGGTGGGAGTGTCAGGGAGGAATGGGAGGAGGGCGCACCAAGTTGGGGAGAGCCAAAAGGTAGAAGACGGCCCGAGGGCCCCTTTGGCACAGAAGAAATGCGAGGCTGTTGGAATCTGAATCAAGATCGTTTTTTTAAAAAAAGCAAAATCCAAACGGCACGTTTCCTCCAGGCAAATGGTAGCCTACGGCAGGGGTCAGCAGGGCGTCTAGCAGTGGGCCCCGGCCGCGCTACTGGCAGGCAGAACAGAGCGCACCTGGAGGCCTCAGCACCGCGGACAGCGGCCGCGGCCTGCGGATCATGAAGCTCCACCTGGCCTCGGAGATCTTGCGTGTGCGCTCGGCCCCGCCAGGACCCGTCAGCACCGTGGACAGCGCCCTGCAGCTCCCACGGCAGCTCTCACCTGTCCTCGGCGCCGGCTTTCGCCGCCCCCCCTTTGCTTTAAAAAAAAAAAAATCGAACTTGTGTCACTTTTACTTTGGGGCTGGCTGGCTTTTTTTTTGTTGTTTCTCTCTCTCGCTTTTTTTTCGTTGTGTTGTGTTTTTTTTTTTTAAGGGAACTCACCCACGTGTCCCCGGAGTGATGACGCTGATTGGCTCCGGCCGATTTTGGGGGTGATGTCACGGCTCCACAAGCCACGGCCCGATTCTTTCCCAGTTTGATTAAAAGAGACACTGAATTAATTACAGCACAGACCTAACTGTTTACCGGCGGTTTCCACACAGTTTGCTTTCATTAGGTCGGCGATGACGCCCCTAATGAAGATGATTAGTCGGGGGGGGGGGGCAGGGGCCGGTGGGAGGATGGCCAGCACGGTTGCGTGGCCTGTAGTTGGGATGCGCGGCCTTGAAAGCCTTCTCCAAAGCCTGTCCATAATTATTCAAGCTACTCGACTGTACCGCGGTCGGTCGGAGATCCCTTTCCTGTCTCCCATTTTTCTTCCTAATGGGGAAAAGACCTGTGTGTGTAGGGAATCCCTTTCCTAGTAAGAGAAAGAATTTAAAATTTTGTTTTCGGGATGTTTTGCTTGGGTTCTAGATCTCTTTTTCTTACACACACACACACACACACACACACACACACACACACACACACGATATGACAATCCTCTCCTGGCCTCTGGGCCTGCTGTCCTGGAGCAGAAGGTTAAGCCTGATGTCTTTCAGAAAAGAGTCCGAGCGCTGCAAGAGTTGAGCCGTGGGAAAGATCAAATTTAGAATGTTAAGGGGACCCATAGATATGACTGTGGCCCGAAGAAACAAAGAAGGCGGCGACCTCTTCATCCCCAGCCGGTGGCCTCCCTGGGGCTCGTGTGTGTGTGTGTGTGTGTGTGTGTGTGTGTGTGTTGTACCTCTAGACACAACAATGCAAGTTTTGAGCTGACAGGAACATGACGAAGATGTCTAAGGCCAGCTTGGTAGTCAGCGCTCAGACGTGGCTAGCCTGGGTTCTATTTTCAAGGCAGTGCTGACAATGAAATTACGGTCTTTCCCCTCCTTATCTCCCAGACTCTTCTACCGCGCTCTCGTTCCCCGCCTTTCTTGGGTCAGCCTCTGGTAGTGTCAGGGGCCTAAGACGGCAAAGTAGCTGCAACGGGTGAGGGCCTGGGTTCTCTACCCTCAGCCTCAGGATCGACTGTACCCTCGTCTGCGAGGAAGCAGACGAGGAAGCAGACGAGGAAGCACCTGAGCAGCAGGGGCCCAGCCGCCAGAGTGGCCTGCCCAGCAGCTAGCGGGGAGCCCCGACTTTCCCCTTAGGCGCACTCCTACCCCTCGCCCTGGGCCCCTGGGAAACTACTGGAGACTCGGCGTCCAAGGCTGCCGTGGAATCATCGTGGAATCGTTAAGCGCCGCATCCCGCAAATGCGATCTCCGGCCGGCAGTGGCCCCTCGCAGCGCGCAGAACGGAAACTTTGTTCTCTCCCGGGCTGGGCCGGCGGTGGCCTCGTGCCCCGCTCCCGCGCGTTCCCTCTGCTCCTGCCGGCAGATTGGAAGCGGCCTCGCCGCCGGCCGGGCTGGGAGCGAGGACCCGCTGCTCCCGGGGGACGGCGGAGGGCCAGGCTCGGCTGCAAGCTGTCGGGGAGGCGGGAGGGCGGGGGCCCCTGCACTGGGTGCCTCCCGCCAGGCCTTGCTTGTCTTTCTTTTCAGTTTGGTGGATGGGGGTGAGAGTCATAAATCACCGTGAGCCGGTGTCTCGGGGGCCTTCCTTGCCAGCCTCTAGCTTGGGCTTCTCTCCTGCTTCAGGCGGGTCCCTCCTCGGTCGCCGGTCGCCTACACCTCCGCTGATTCTCCCCTTAGGAAGACTCTCATCTTTCGTAGCACCTAAGTCCACATGAGTCGCAGACATCCCTCTCTTTCGGAGTCTGTGAACCTTGCTGATGCAGCCAGCAAAGAGCCGCGGTTTCTTAGATATGCCTCCGGCCTCGTCTGTCTCAAGGGCTCCTAGCAGCTCCTTCTAAGTGAGACTTAGGACCCAGCAAAAAGTGAAACCTAGAGCTCACAGATCAGAGCGCAAGCAGGCAGAGAGGAAAGTCCGATCTTCTTAGGGCAAAGGGAAAAATAAACAGGTCAAGATTAAAGCTCTTGAAGCCCTTGCCAGCCTCTTTATACTTCTCGGAGGCCCAAGAACATTTAACAACCAGTTAACATAACGTCATTAGTATTGAATTATAATCTATAGCAACATAAACCATGCTGCGTGGACTGCTTCATTTGGAATTTAGGGTCTCTTTCACCTGCCTGCTTCTTTCCAACTCAGGGTGTTGACCAGAGGGGTACCCCTCCTTCTCTATCATCTATCTGGGAAGCAGCCTGAAGAAGATAGAGGGAATCTTTACCAAGAGGCCCAGAGAACCTGGATCCAGTGCACTCTCAAACATGGAAGCCTGCTTGGCAGGGATGGGTGGCAGGACTTTGGGTCCTAAGTGGTTGGTGTAAGCATCTGTAAGTTTCCCAGTCTCTGAGCCCCCAGCACACAGTAGGAAGTTGACCTGCTTCCCAGACACCTAGTCTCCAACAGTTCTTGGCCCCCTCCCTGAAACTCAGGAACCTCGAAGGAAGGAAATGGAGTGATTTGATGTGTATTTCTATGGGAGCAGTCACTGTTCCTCCAGGACCCAGACTGTCACCCCAGCATCTAAATCTCTTCTTTCAGGCTTCCCACTCTGGACTCCAGATCTTTTCTCTCAGCCCCCCACTTCCTCTAGCAGTTCCTTGTTTCAAATTCAGGTCCTCACGTGCTCCCCCCCACCATGTGTGAGATTGCCTCTCATAAATTCTGAGACCCTCAAAACCCAAGACAGCCGTATCAGAGAGGTGGGGCCAGGACAGGCAGGGGTAAGGACAGAGCTTCAGAGGCTAGGTCCCCCGCCTGCCTCTGAACTTTGTCTCTCTTGCTAGGAGCTCCTGTTTCCCTTTATACAAAGGTACACCCAGAGTCTTCTCCTAAGACTGGAGGGTGGGAGAGGCCTGTGGGTGTTATGAGGCAGCCTGACTGTAGATTCCGGCCTTCTCCATCAAGGGCCTCAGATCTAGGCTTGGCTTTGGGTCAGGGTGAGACCTGGATGCTTCCCTTGCCTATTCCCACCTCCATCCCCCTCCCTCTCTCTTCTCCCTCCCTCTTTCCCCAGCACCATTCATCCCTGGGATTGGACACAGGATTGTTTCTGCTCTTTTTGCTTACCTGGCTCTGCAGGCTGAGCCATGAAGAGATGTTTCATGTGTCTTCCAAATGCCCCTGAGGTCTGTGCTAATATATATATAAACAGCAGTCATTCAAGCTTTGGAGTTGCTGAAGAAAGGGGCCGGATGATTTTGAAAACTGACTCAAGAACAGGCCAGAGGGATTGGAATCCTAACTCCAAATCTCAGACTGGGACCTAGTGACCCAGGCAAATCCTCATTTAAAATGTTTATTTTATCCATCCTGAGTTTTAAATTTTATTTTAAGTGATTGCACTTTAAATATTGTCTTGGTTGCTGAGTTATTTTGGCATTCTCTTAAAATCTGCAGGCGCTCTATTCTGGGACCCTGAGAAAAGTCACTTTTCAAAAGGAAGGCAGATTGCTTTCTGAGCCTCATTTGTTTGGTTTTCTGACTTTCATTTTGTTTAGTCTTTCATCTATAAAACGAGGCCAATGACACCCCACTTTCTAGGGTTCTTCTGAGACATCTTCGCACTTCGTTCTGATCCATTCATAGTTATACATCTAATCACAGCGAGAGCTGCTCCTGCGGGCAGACTAGGGCCCCAGGCTCGGCTCCCCAGCCCCAGGAGACATCCGTTCACTCCTTTCCCCAGGACTCCCTACCAAAGCCAGTTCTTAGGGCGGAGGATTGGGGGTGTACTTTCGTTCGGCCTGGGGGTGTCTCTGTGCTCCCAGGCAGATGGGTCTGAAAGGCTCTGGACAAACAGAAGCCTTGAGGCCAGACTGTCCTCAACCCTTTGTGTTTGTTTAGGTCAAAGCCCCGGGAGCCCCTGAAAGCAGAAGGAGAACACATTCCTTCCTTTCTCCCTCCCTCCATTCCCACCAAGTCTGTGCTTCATGCCAGATGCCGGCAAGTCACAGAGGGACCCATTCTTGTATGGTCTATCTAAATCCCCACTGAGCTGGGGCTCCGTGGTAATGAATTTGCCTAATATGTGTGAGGCCCTGGATTCCATGCCTAGCATGAAAAAGACAAAAATGCTTTGCAGATTTCTCACCTATAGGTTCAAGTTTGTCACTTCCCTGCATCCAATGTGAGGAACCAAAATCAAAAGCCAACCTGGGGCTGGAGACA